CTTGGGCCCAGCTTTACAGAGCCACAATTTTATTTTAAACTTGGTAGAAGGAGTTTGGTTTTAATTATGTGCTTTCTTGAACTCCTGATAACTTTCAAGTTAAAAGCTTTTGTGGGGATTTTTCTAAGCCAGTCTCTGGTGTCTTGAGGGCCTTACACATTTCACAAATCAAAACCAGCCTGGTTCCTGTCTCTTTCTAGGATTGCCATCTGAATTAATGGTAATCTTCACTCTGTTCTTTTATTAGAAACAGGCCCAAGCAATGAGATTCTTATGGGAGAATTTCAAGAGTATGGAAGGAAGGAGTCTGCTTCTTAGTTTGGGGATATTTTTACATCTATGGTCTATCTAGCTAATCATTCTTTTCACCTCTACTCTCTGTAATCATGTTGGTTTCTAAGCAGCTTTTAGTCTGTTCTGCTCCAGGGTCCCATTCACAATATATATTGCCCCCCAATGGGGCCGTAAAAGCTGTGAAAGTAATTCCTTCTCTGAGCAGTTTTTCCTCAAGTCATACACACCAGAGTGTCTCATCTTATTGGCCATGATTCATCTTCAATAGAAGGTAAAGCAAAATGGTCTTTACCGAAAACATTTATAGAAGTTCCTTCTAAGACTTCCTGATTGGAGCATATGATGTAATAATACATTTGTGTATTATCTGCAAATTATATAAGAGACTCATGCCTTTTCTAAAATATATGATGTCATCATGTACAGATAAACTATTCAGACTACCTAAAGAGTAGAGTAAGAGAAACTTCTCTGTTTTTAAAAGAGAGAGTGCATACACAGGAGGAAGGGTGAGAGGATGGGCCCACTCCCAGAACATAGGTAAGAGGAACCCACGTTCCTAGCCTCTAAAGGATCATAGATCACAGTTCTCTAAGCCCTGTGTTCTGGGACTTCTTATTTCCTGCCCAATAAGCTGACCTCTTAGAATCCTCTTCTCTGGGAGAAACTTCAGTGTTCATTTTCCTAGCCTGTGTTCTGCTTCCCTCTTTTGATATCACTTCCTAGCTCACTGTTCCCCTGAGACCACTTAGGCAAACTCTTATTCTATCTTATCTCCTGCTCTCTAGGTTTACTCAGAAGTCTCCCTGCAGGGTAGGCAGTCAGCTTTCTAGAATAAGAAGCAGTGTCAGCCTAGCAGTTGAACTATGCTTAGTTTGAGTGACAGCAGGATTAAGGGGGAAAGTTAAAATCTCCTGCACAATTCAGCCACTCTGCTTCTTTACCCAAGAAACCCAAACTTCTCTCCCTAAATCTAACCAGTGTTTTTTCATCAAACCCCAGATTATCCAGGATATCAAGAAGCCAAGCAAAACGATAGTTTCTAGAGGTGTTCCACCAGTGAAAATCAGTTTGGAAGTATGATCTAAAAACCTACATCATTTTATCAGAAGCTAGGGCATTAAACACTAAATTCTGTGTACTTTTAAGCTATCTTGCCTTCCAGCCTATAAGTATACTCTTTTTAGGCTAAAAAACATAAAGGAAACCATTTCTATTAAAGTAAGAATACCATATCCTTTGGAAATCCCAGTTTTCTTCCTTTTTTGAAATAATAGTGTTTGTATTATGGTAGCTAACTATATTACCTCTACTGCATTCAAATCTTGCTAATCTTTGAGGTTTTGGGAGGTTTATATGCTCTCCTCTAATTGGTTGGATTGACCTTCCTGGGTGGGTCATTGTTGAGGCTAGCCCTTGAAGGCAATGATAAAAAATGTAAGGATTCCTCATAGCTCCAAAAGTCAGGTAAAAGCTGGGGAAAATGTTAGAAGTAGTGAAGAAAGACCAAGGATTAACTTGGAAGCTCCTTTTTCTCTGATATCTGGATCTAGGTGAATTGTCTACTGGATCACTCATCACCTACACATTTTTATAAAAGATTACTCAGAAAAAAAATTGATAACAAGAAATCTTAACATTCCTAAAAAAGATGATAAACAACAGGCTGCAATATTTGCTTTTAGTTACTCCTGGCAGGCAGAAGTAAGAGTGTCATTTGTCAGCCTCTTAGATGGCTGTCTGTAGGAAACATCTCCTGCGTTAAACCTGAAGCAAGATCTGGTTTGGTGATGACGAACTTGAGTACCATTAGCATTACCTTCCTCCATGTTCTCTCATCTGTGGAAAAATTAACTTAGGCCTCTGGAAAACCCTGTAAAATCTGCCTCTTCATATCCAGGAACCCCACAGGCTTTCTCTGGTCACTGCTTGATAGTGCTAACCTATATTTTGTTTTTCAGTTTTTAAGTGCTTCTATTTTACATCAACCCCCTCAGTGGACACTGTACAGTATAGACAGCCATACTATACAGTCGTATATCTGTCTGAGAACTTTCTTGGGTGTGGTGATGGCATAAATAGCTTCATTGTGCTTCCAGAACATTCTAAATGAAAAGGGTTAATTATGTGTCATTCTTATAGGAATAAATCAATGGAAATGATTAGCATGCTTTGATATATATAATGACTAAGATTCATAACTGGTAAAATCCTAATTTACCTATTTTAGTGAGGGGGGGGGAAATGCCTGTTTTTTCATTAGAGTCTCCTGCCCGAGGCTACACAGAATTTAAAGCTGAAGATGTAGTAAAATCTTACCCAACAAATATGATATTTACAAAGAAGAAACTGGAAAAAAGAAAAAAAAATTTTTTTTTCAAATGAGGTACCTCCTTTCAGGAAAAAGTAAGTCAGCAAATAGGCATGATTTAATTGTCAGAAAGAGTTTATAAGGCCTCAGTCTGTATACACCATGTAGAAATGGCTTTTATTTCAGTAGGAGGAAGAAAAAGAAGGCACAAGGCAGACCAGTTTGATTATAAATGGGCCATTTTTCTTATCTAAGAGAGAGTGTGGAAAAGTCCATGCCTAGAGAGTTAGAATGGAGGTCACACTTCTCCCCTGTGTAGTCTGTAGTTTGCAGACTGTTCTGCCCAGAAGCAGCAAGAGAAACTAAATGGTTTCCTAAATTATTGTTTCGTTTGGTTGCATGTGAGCTCAATTCCCTGGGTCAAAGGTACTAAGTTAACTTGCTACTCTAACCAGCATTAACAGCCAATATAGTATTCTTATAACTAGAAAATGAAAGAGAGGGAGTTGGGGGTGGGTGGCAGGGAGCTGACATTCTAAGAATGCACTTCCTCATAATTTTCACATTTAATTCTTACCATTAGAGTAAGTGGTAACTTGCCCAAGGTCACATGGCTAGAAGATGTCAGGGAAGAATTAGAACTCAGGTCCAGCCAATGCCATCTCACTCCTCTGGAACATTAACAATTCAGTTCAGTGAGTGTTTTAGGAGCACCTATCATGTTCTAGCCCTGAAGGCACTGAAGATTAACTGGGAATAAGATAGTAGATGGATCTCAGATAAAGAAATCTTAGGAAATGCTCCATAACAATATGTTTTTTGGGTTTTTTAAAATTTATTTTTCTTAATTGGTCCATGATAATTGAATATACTATGGAGTACAAATGTATGTGTGTGTGTATTTCTCTAATATCGTCTTCTCAAAACTCATTTCTCCTAGGAAACCTTTTTAGTTGGAGCCCATGGGTTATCACTGTGATCTCCATAGCACTTAGTCGCATGTTTTCCCTACGTTGCTTCAGACAGCCTTGTTGATTATGTTCGCAGTGCTCTCCCAGCTCTGTCTTTGTTTAGTCCTGTGGTTCCTCACTAGGACTGTACAACTGAATCACCTGGAGGACTTTTTAAAAATACATATGTAAGACTCAAATGATGTGATTTTAAAAAATAAATAAATAATAAAAATACATATAGGAAGGCCTAACTCTAGACCTGCTGAAAGAGAATCTCCAGGATTGAGGTTAGGATGTGTACATTTTGAAAAGGTGCACAGGATAATTCAGCAGACTCCTTCCTTAAACCCCTGATTTAAAGAGGGATTCCTTGGGGAAAGCTACGTTTTAGCAAAGTCACCCTGTTCAGTCCTTCTTTAGTCAGATGTGCTGTCACACCATACTTCCCCTGGACAGCTTTAGGGTGTGGTATATCTGGTTGTCATGCTGTGTTGGTTGACAAACCCGTGGTTTGCAGGGACTGTTCAATGCTTTAACAGAGTAGTGTCATTGAGTGACTCCTCAGTAGTTCAAGGATTCATTATTCATTTTGTAGATTATTGGACCCATGTTTCTCTTCTCTCCTTGGTCTGTCCCTGAGGATTCTGTTGTTCTTTAACACCTCAAAAGAGGAAATAATACATTCAAATCAACTGAGTATTTATTTGCCTGAGTTCTTAAAAAAAAAGAAGAAGAAGAAGAAGGGATAGGAAGGTAAAGGTCATCTAGGGTAAACAGTAAAGGTGAAACACGGACGTAATTACAGTTTGTTTACAAAGACCAGGCTTACAGTTTGCGTCTTATAAAAAACTCCTTTCTTCTGAGACCTCAGAGTACTTTCTTATTATTTTTATTTTTTTTTACCAAGACTTTCTCCTCTCTCTCTTCTGCTTTCAGTAGAGATCTGGGAGAAAGCAGGTACTGTCCTGAGTTTTCATATTTGTAAATTGCATTATTCACTCAGGACAGGGTTGAGGGTTTGTGAACTGGAAGAAATTAATAGAATGAATATTGAGATCCATAGAGGCTAAATGTCACACAGAAAATCAGTAATAGTCACTCCTAGATCACAAGGTTGTCTGACTAGCTGGGCTGTTGTGGGGGGGCGGGGGGGGGGGACACAGTTTTTGATCATTTTGCACACTTCCAGATTATAAATATGCTGTTCCCAAAGCCTCAAATCTAGTGAATCATGGAATACAAAGAAGTGTGAGCTAGAGCTAAGAAGTCTTTTGTGCAGTTAGTTGAATTGCTTTTCTTAAACTTTACCCCTATCTTCAGCTGTGAAGTTGAGACATCTGATTTGAAAAGTGCATTTATAAATGGATAAAACAAAAATCAGTCCCTTGCTAATGCTGATTTTTTTTTGTTGTTGTTGTTTTGTTTTTGTCTCCTTTCTCTAGCATGAAAGACTTTCTAGGTAAGAACTCTCCCTGTTTTATATGCATGCTTAATACTTGTGAGTGAATGCATGTCTAATTAAATTTAGCTTTATATAATAGTTTAGTAATATTTCTCACATCCTTTCCTTCATTTCTGCAGCCACCACAATAATTCAGACTTTTATTATCACCTGCCCAACTTTGACTAGCTTTTCAACTCACCTTCCTACCTCCAGATTCTCCCCTGTATACTTCCACTGGATTAATTTTCCTAAAGCACCAGTGTACTAGGCACCGTGCTTGGTTCTAGGGAAACAACATGAATAAGACACTCTTCTTACCTTCAGTCAACTTACAAAGCACTACAGAGACAGGTCATTTCAATAGAGTGAAGTAAGTGCCATTTGGAAGTATGGACAGGTATTATGAACAAAGAGAAGAGGCAATTAACCTCATCTGGTGGTTCAGGGAAGGCTTCATTGCAGAGTTGGAGCCTGAATTGAGATTGAGGTTGGATACCATCATTTAATAGTGGATCCAACACAATACCTTGTACCTGAGGGTGCTCAATCATAGTTTGTTTAATGAACTAAAGACCTGTTTTGCAATTGCTGAAAAATTAAGGAAGGATATCAGAATTTGGGGGATGGCCCTCTGTAATTTTTCACCTAGTGTCTAAGGATACAAAACTGATCTTCCTGAAGAAAGAAAATAAATAAAAAATAATAGACTGTGGAGCTAAAAGTTTGGTCATCTCCTTTTCCACTGTTCCTCTGAAGGAGAAATTAAGAGGACATTGGGGGAAGATGTAGTTATGCAATAGCTTAAGGCAAATGAATCTCCTCATAATTCATTTGGTAATTGAGTAGGTTCCATCTTATTAATATATTCTGAACTTTACAGGTATTCTTCTTCTGCTTGCCCTCTCACCAACTGAAGATAAATAATTTACTTCTAACCTAACAGAAAATTACTTAGTTTTGCAAAACTAGTGGAGAGTGGTATTTTGCTACAGTTAATATTTTGTGAACTCTGTTATATTATAATGGCCATTTGTGAAAGGAGACTTCAAAATATGCTTTAAGGGGCTGGCCTGTGGCTCACTCGGGAGAGTGCAGTGCTGATAACACCAAGGCCACAGGTCAAGGCCACAGGTTCGGATCTCATATAGGGATGGCCGGTTAGCTCACCGGGTGAGCGTGGTGCTGACAACACCAAGTCAAGGGTTAAGATCCTGGGCCGGCCCGGTGGCGCACTGGATAGTGCGCCACTTGGGAAACGCGGCAGCGCTCCCGCCCGAGGGTTCGGATCCCACGTACAGACCGGTTCCCGCTCACTGG